GCTTTGAACATGCGCACCCGCAAATCTTAGCAACGAAAACCTCGACGTCAGGCGCTGCAGCCTCCGTAGGCCGCTGGGTTCCATGGTTAACACTAAGCCGTGGCCAACGAGTGGGCGAAAATGATGAGATTCTTGAAAGAAGCATCTTCGAATGCTTAAGAGCACCAAATGGTACATTCACAAGGTATTCCGGGCACTTGTATACATTTCACCCGTGCGATATTTAGATCGACGATGATAACGATCAGCCTTGTACAGCGCCGCGAAGTAGTGCCCAAATCTGGTGGTGGTGGAACTGAAAGAGCAAAGATAGGGTATTTGCTTTCGTGTTGCTATAGCTGTAATCTGTCCGGTGGACAATCCCAAATTTAGAAAAAGATCACTGAATGCCATTTATGAATGCCCCTCATTGACCCGGAATGCCTTCTGACCCGCGTAGTTGAACCTGGATCGGCGCATGAACTCTCACTGACGCGACATCCCTGATCGCCGCAGGTGGTCCAGTGATTGGTGTATAGACTGCAGCTCGGCTTAACGGGCCCATTCTGGAATTGGGTTGGAGGCTCCAGCGTTCGGTACTGGGGCTCTGACTGGCAAATGACCCATTGCCTCAATGTGCACAATCATCATAAGTTATCATGTTCCCTTTTATTATCAAATGACCCAGACCACTACAAGAGGCCCACTGTCATTCGGTGTCCCGTCTCCGCCCCCGTTGAGCAAATCTTCCCCTGACCGGCTCGAGGCCCCTTGTTGACACAAAATACCCTGTTGGGCACTGTGGGTCCCTGAACGATACAGCATCTCTCCATTTTTGCAGGGGCCTGACCAATGTAAATCGCGGCTCGGCCGTGTCCCTGTTTCGGAAAGAGGCCCCCAGTGGTCAGACTGACAAAGGGCCGACTGTTCGGTATAGGCCCTCATCGACTCAGTGGTCCCCGATCAGCACGAAGGGCCCTCTGGTTGTCATTTAAGGGCCCGTATCCGCAGGCCGGGCCCTTGAATGAGACTTTGACCAGCCCTTCGTGCCCTTAGGCCCTCCAATCGGGTCAATGATTGTCGGAACTGGTGGGCCCTTCAGGCTCTTGGGGCCTCCTCGAACACTGCCTCTGGCGGCCTCGGGATCCCTTGCCAACATAGGCCCCCGTGAGTGGTTGTGGGATCCTGACAGGCGCTGGGGCCCCGACCAACGTAGACCGCTGGCTCTGGCGTTATCCCTTGGGAAGTGGGCCGTCATTCCCATGCTGCCACGGAGCTGACTGTGCATTAGTGGTGGTGCCTGACCAATATATAAGCCTTTATCGACTTAGGTGGCCGCTCATAAGCGCGCTGGGCTGCCGTTGGAGTGCCCGGCCCTGCGGACCGGGGCTCTGAATACGACTTCGGACCGGCCCTTCCAGCCCTCAGTTGTGGCCCCTCAGTTCAGCCCTGGGGGGGCTTTAAGAGCCCTTGGAACCTAGGGAAAGGGGCGTGTGCCCCCTGTCCCCCTCCCCCGACCCTCCATCTGTACTACTGTCCCTTAGGTCACACCCAAGGAGAATTAGAGGGGAGCATAGACACACAAATGATGGTTCTAGGTTCACCTCAATTTGCCATTTGTACAGTTGACGATGCAATGGTATTTGACAGTCAAATGATGCAGTTTTAAGGAAAGTCTAAGCCCTTGTTCGTTGAATAGAAAACGGCTGCCAAGATAGCAGTGAACTAGTACTGTTCGGCATTGCGTCGCTTTCGACGTGACATCAGCTTTGATACAATCGTGGCGCGGGGCGTGCGTCCTCGGGTTTGGTGTTATTGCATTTTCCGCTAAATTGTCGAACCATATCCATATCCAGGTACGTAACATCCATTGCTGATCTTAGGAGTTGCTCTTTGAGCAATATTATGACGGTGCTGAGAGGGGAATAGCAGCAGAATCCAGACACACTTTGTGCGTCATGCCTCGCCTCAACTGTCGAGCAGTTTTCGTAAGGCAAGCTGCGAAACTGCTACGATAATTTGCTTGCACGCAACCAAGGCCCGCATAAAGCACCGTTTGCAGTCAGTTGTGTGCGGATGATTCTATATTTATCTCCTCCTTATGTTTTATTTTAATATAGGGGTGGTGTTTCTAGCTTAGCAGTTTGTACCGAGTGCTGCATGGACTTGTATCACGGTATGGAAGTGATTTTGGTTGAAATACATGTCTTTGGACAAAATTTGCAAGGATAACTAGCCACAATGGTTTTTATAATCTACGTGCTCCAGGGCACCGCGCCATTTTTCCAAGCCATTGCTTAGAAATTCAGACCACATTCACACACCCTCGCACACTCCTTACGTTGACTGGCACAATGTTGCGGCGTAGCCATATGGCATGCGTATGGCCCAATTTGTGCAACAGGCAGGTGACCTATGTAGCACTTTAGTATCAAATGATGGCACTGACCATGTATGGCTTACAATATTCCTGGATTTCATGCAGCATGACTCAATTATGCAAGCTAAGCACATAGATGATGGTGGTAGTAGTAATGCACATAGATATAATGGTAGAACATAGTGCACATAGATGTGATGGTAGCAGTATTATTAACACATCTATATTTCTATGTTCCTGGTTTGCTCTGATGAATAAGGTTATCACTTTTCTCTTATCTACAACATAGCTTAATATGCCTCTTTACTTGCTACTGAAAAAGCAGGCTTCACCCTATGCTCACCTGACTTGGTAGCTGTTAACTTGTCCACCAATCATCAATCAGTGCCATCTTTGACATTGTCACACACTGTGAAGGCTGTCACCAGTGATCAAAAGCAATTTTTTTAAGGTTAAGGTGATACAATGCTGCTGTTTTCTGATAATAGTATATTGTGATCTCACCAAATATTTGGTCATCTTATATGGGCCGGATATCAATCTGAACTCATGCACTGAACCTAGCGATTATGCACACTGAAGCAAGGCCTGGCCAAGTTGCACAGAATTTGCCTGATTATTGATGTTTTAAAATATTTTTTAAGTATGTTGATCTGGATTTGAAGGTAACTGTGTGCTGACCACTCAACACACTGTACTAGTATACATGGAAAATGTTTGCCGCAATGGCACTGCTGTGCAGAACACTGGGCATGTTAAACATAATATTTGTCAAGCTTTGTGTCACATGAGTCAGGAAGTCGGGCATAAGCACGAGTTTTTAATTAAGACTTGTTATCTAATAATTTAGAAATGACACCATAACCTGGCATATAAATGCAGGTAGGCAATGTAAGACCACAGGTAGGGGTTATAAATGGTTAGGTAAAGGTAAAGTGAAAGGGTAATATGCAAAAATACCACAAGAAAGAGCTAAAATGTGTACCCATAATAATATTTGGGATCCGGAAAGGCTGCATCCATTACCACACCTCCCATAAATTCAAAGTACTACAAGTTTGTCAGCCTGTCAGCCGGAGTGGAAATTTTGCACAGCCAGTTTTGGTCATCACAGCAAAAACATTGTATTGCAGTGCAATGTGATGAGAAGTAAGTCAGCATGCTTCACATGTGTGTGAACAAGCAAACATCTTTGACTGCAAATATCATACATATGCTGCCTGCCAGGACATGATTGTAGGCCAAAGGCACAGCAGTTGATATGACAGCAAACCACATTTTGGGAACCACATTGGATTACTTTGTACTTGTATTTCGTTGACATCCTTTTCCCATATCAGCTGAAGTTTGGCAGTGGGATGCTGCTGCCCTGCTAGCGCTGCTGGCATCTTCACAAGTGGGCAGGCTGCAGGCCAGTGTCCTGGGCATGTAATGACACAGTTTGTGGGTTGGGAGCTGGGGGAGGGGAAGAGGCGCTGTTGGGGGGAGGGTGGGGGGAGGCGACTGAGCCTCACGCCACTTTTCGCCGATACACGCCGCATTTTACCAGCTTGTGTCATGATGGAATGAGGTGTACAAGATGTACAAGATACTAACATGATACATGAAAGGGTGATGGGTATTAGGGTAATGATGGTGTTTGATCTTTGTCTCCCTATTTTGGGCTCTAATGATGGGCTTCTAACATTATTCTTCTTTTACAGGATCTGGTTGTCCTGGCCCATGTCTTAGCACCAGTCCGTCGTGGAATCTCTTGTGGATCGTGCTTGCTGCATTTAGGCGCCACCAGTTTGCCAGAATGCTGTACTTAGAAGATTACATTGAAAGTAAGTTGTGGGAATGATAGATAGCGAGATCTAAGCTGGAAACAACAAATCTTCAGTATTGTGTGTGTCTCCAGAAATAGAACATTTAGGTAGTCTGAAATGTATTCAATCATCTACCAAATGTAACCTTTCAGCTTGTTGTGCGGTACTTGCAACGTCATTGACCCACTATCCCTGATCCATCATTTGAGTTTAGCACTTGCGTTTGTCCACGCTCCAGGTGCCCGCCTTTCTGTGCAGCACTTTGGGTGGCGCGCATCCTGGCCTGTTGGGCCATGCTGACATATGTCCGACGGAGGCCCGCGTGAGGCAGTGTTGCTCGTGCGCTTCAGGTGGTCTAGACTGATTGCGCTGCATTGCTTGCTGTTTGAAACTCAAAACAAGGTCTTGGGTGCACACATGATGACACCAAAATAAGTATTCTCCGGAGGTACTGAAATGCTTGTGAGTCAATTGCCAAACTGTAGACTTTGTGTCTCATGCTTTTGTCACATTGGGGCCTCTCGGACGGCACGGTATGTGCGCATATGTCCCCCAGTTTGAAGACCCCGCAGGACGCACGCTGGACCGTACATAAAAGCTCACTTCCGCCCAGTGGGGCTCCTCCAGCGATAGTGTTTGACCTCTCTGAGTTCGGCCTCGATGCACGCCTGGCGTGTGCCAGGTTCCTGAGGCACTCATGGTCGGAGGAGGTTGCGGGGGCTTTGGATCGAGGACATAATTGAGAAGTTAGTATCGCCGTGGCAAAGTTCAGGGTCAGCACTCTGGCGTTGCGCACGTCTTTTCAAGCTCATTGACTAAGGCCTTTTCAGCTGTGGTTTTCAAAATTTCCAATAGCCGTTTTCCAAATATGCGGCGCAGTCTGTTAAGGGAGTTTGTCCGGGTATTGGTTTGTTTTGCTAACAGGAGCGAGCAGCAGCGGAGGATTGCTGCTGGGGCCGCCGTTGATGAAGCCGCCGCTCTCGGCGTGGTAGCGCTTGCGAGCCGCGTGTAGCGCGTAGAAATCTTGCTCAGCAGTCACTTGCAACTCAAACAATGGCCAGCAAGCATGCGACGCCGTCATAAGGTCCCTCTGCGATTGCGGTAATGATTGATAGGTCCCATGAATTCATAGCTCGTGAGAGTCACCTACCGATCACCGTTAAGTACGGACCGGCCGTGCGGAGCGGTATCAGTTTTTTGGAATTAATGAATTAGATGGAACTCGAAGGACCTCGTGGCGCTGCCTGAAAAAGCTAGTAAATTAAGTGTCCCCAATTCAGCAGAGAATGTGTGGTCACTTCTCATGGTTATCATTTCCTCAGCCTTGGAAGGTTTGGCGCTTATTCAAGCGTTCTATGCTGACTTCCATAAGCGTGTTTTATGCTAATTCCCAGGGCTGCAGTTGTTAAAATACATTTGGCAAAAAGAGACGCTGACTTTTGAAACACGTTTCAAGCCTTCAGACGTGCGGATCAGCTGGAATTGACTTGGCATGGCCTGGAGGACGAAATCTGAATAGTGTACAATGGACGTATGTGCTACGTGCACCAAATACGGCGGCGCTGCCATCTGCCGCCTTTTGGTTTTCACAAGACAGCATGGAGGCTTGTAAGGGCTGCCGACAAAGCTATGCCGGCAAGGGCTAAACTGAGCACACTTCTGATGTTATATCATTGCTGATTCCCTGCCAAACCCAGCCAGCATTGTTGCCAATCCGTTCAAATCCCGAGACAGATTCACCTTGCGTCTCTCCGTTCACCACATGATGATGATGATGTTGGTGACGTGCGTAACGTCCCCCGCCACCTTCCGTTTCCGTTCCGCCGCCGCTGCCGCTGCAGCCGCCGTGCTGAGGAGCGCGGCCGGGCTAACGCTGCCCTGCCCCCCTCCCCTGTCCTAGTGATCGTCCCTGCACCCCCCCCCCCCCCCCCCGCCCCGCCCCCCACCTCCGTTCCGCCGCCGTGCTGAGGAGCGCGGCGGCCGCGACTGACGCTGCCCCGCCCCCCGCCGCAGTGATCGAGCACCTGCCCCGGGAGCTGCGGGACAGCTTCACCGAGGTGCGGGAGATCGACCTCCAGGTGCACAGTAAGTGTGACGGGCGCCTGTGGCGGGGCCGCTCCGGGCCCGGTGTCCCTCCGGGGTGTAAGCCGTCTGGCTCCGTCGGGATGGCTGCACGGCCTCCTGCACCCGTCCGGGCAGGCTGTGTGGATGCGCTTGTCCTAGTTTGGCGAGATTGGGCGCTGTGCGAGGTCGCGTGAACGCTCCTTTGTCCTGGCGAAAGGTGTTCGGCGCCTGAGGTGACTACCGAATACCTACGGGGTGGACACAGGTGCGACTGCCAGCGTAGGAATGCGGCGGCGTTCGTTATGCCACCGTCCAGTTTGCCTGTGTTAGTGTAGAGCCCCGAACGCGATCTGTTATCAGTGACGGTGGCAACACACTTATGAGACGAATACACTTTGAGGTATATTGTCGTCAGTTTAGCCAGAGCGTCCACCGGCGGCCGAGCGAGAGACGGCGAGACCGGCGCCACGCATCCGACTGATTTAGCCGCGGCGTGCGTTCTCTGGCCGAGCGCTGACGGGTCGCCTCGCGCCCTGCAGCGGACGCCACGCCCAGCCGCCAGACGGGCAGCTCCCCGGCCAGCTCCACCCGGCACATGCTCCGCTCCATCGCCGTGCTGCGCCACGTGCTGGGCGAGCTGCGCGGCAGCCTGGCAAACGCCCCGGGCGCCGCCGCGCCGCCGCCGGCCGCCGCCAAGTCGCCGCCGGCCGCCGCCAAGTCTCCGCCGGACGCCGCCAAGTCACCGCCGGCCGCCGCCAAGTCGCAGCCGGCCGCCGCCAAGTCGCAGCCGGCCGCCGCCAAGTCGCCGCCGGACGCCGCCAAGTCACCGCCGGCCGCCTCCAAGTCGCAGCCGGCCGCCGCCAAGTCGCAGCCGGCCGTCACCAAGTCGCCGCCGGCCGCCGCCAAGTCGCCGCCGGTTGCCGCTCAGGCGCCTGCGCAGAAAGCGGCTCCGCATGGTGAGGCCGCGGCCGGCCAACGGAAGAGCAGGGGGCAAATCAAGGCTGAGCGGCGGGCCAGAGCTCAGGCGGCCAAAGGTAACGCGAACAACCCCGCTAAGGTGGCCGAAGGTAACATCAGCAGCGCCGTCAAACCGGCTGAAGGCAACGCGAACAACCCCGCTAAAGCGGCCAAAGGCAATGCGAACAACCCCGCCAAAGCGGCGGAAGGTAACACGAGCAATCCTGCCAAAGCGGCCAAGGGTATCGCGAACACACCGAACACACCCGTCAGGGCAGTCAACGCTAACGCGAGCCACCCTGCCAAGCCGGCCAAAGCTAGCGCGAACCAGCCCGCCAAAGTATCCAAATCGAATACGGGCACGCCTGTCAAGGATGCCAAAGCGAGCGTGAGCAAGAAGGCGTCGCCGACGGCCGGCGGCGACGGCTCCGCGCAGGCGGGCGGCGGCCGTGGAGCGGCAGGTCAGGCTAGCCCGGTCGCCCGCCCTGCGCAGGCGCCAGCGCCGGCGCCGGCGCTGGCCGCCGGGGCGCCCGTCCAGACCGCAGCGGAGCCGTCCCACCAGGCCCAGCCTGCTGACGGTCAGCAGAAGAGCAGGGAGCAGGTCAAGGCCGAACGGAAGGCCAAGGCTGAGGCGGCCAAGCTGGCCAAGGCGGCCAAGGCCAACGCCAACAAGTCGGCCAACGCCAACGCGAACGAGCTCGGGAAAAGCAGCACCAGCAAGGCCGCTGGAGCTGGCGCGAGCAAGAGTGAGGCCTCGCTGCCGGCGGCGGCGTGCGGCGCTGGTGCGGCCGGTCAGGCGACCGCGAGCCGGCCGGCCACCGCACCATCGGCGCGACCGCCACTTCAGTCGCCGCCCGGACCCAAGACGGAGGTGCAGTCTGCTCCCCAGACCGTGCAGCAGGCGGCAGCGGCGGCCCCCGGCCCGGCCGTGGCCGAGCGCGGCGGTCAGCCGAGGCCGGTCCCGAACGCGGCCCCGGCGCCGGACCAGCCGCCAACCAAGTCCAAGGCCGAGCTGAAGGCTGAGAGGCGGGCGCTGCAGGAGGCGCAGCGGGCGGCCAAGGCAGCGGCGGCGGCGGCGGCGGCAGCTGCGGGCCCCGCCGCCGCCAAAGGAGGCAGCCAGCCGAAGCCGGCCCAGAAGGTGGCCGGGCCGGCTCAGCAGCCGGCGCCGGTGGCGCGCCCGGATCAGGACACCGCCCAGCCGGACAAGAAAAACTCGAAGAAGGCGCCGGCCGCCACCAAGCACCACATCCACATGTTCTCGCACCTGCCGCAGTTCGACGCCGGCGCCGTGGACGCGCTGACGCTGAAGCACGGCGTGCATCCGGCCGTGCTGCGCCTGGGCCTGCGGCTGGCGGCCGGCCGCATCACCGGCGCCAACGCCGGCGCCGTGGCGCTGCTGGCCGCGCTCGCCGCTCTCGTGGAGGACTACAAGACGCCGGCGCAGCGCGAACTCCGCCGCGACCTGCCTGACCAGGTGCGCCGAGCCGTGGGTCACGTGGCCGCGTGCCAGCCGCTCTCGGTCGCCATGGAGAACGCGGCGGCGCGGCTGGACCACGCCATCCGCACAGAGGTGGCCGACGGGACCAGCGACAACGAGGCAAAGAAGCACCTGTCGGAGTGGATCGAGTTCTTCATCAGAGACAACATCTGTAAGGCGGTGACGGCGATCACGCACTACGCCCTGGAGAGGATCAAGGACGGCGACACGATCCTGACGTACGGCAAGTCGGCGGCGGTGCTGGACGTGCTGCGCGAAGCGCACATGAAAGGCCTCCGCTTCCACGTGGTGGTGGTGGACTCGCGGCCGCATCTCGAGGGCCGTGGTATGCTGCGGATGCTGTTGGACGCCGGCGTCACCTGCTCGTACGGCATGATCAGCGCCATCAGCCACCACATGAAGCAGGCGACCAAGGTGCTACTGGGCGCGCACGCGCTCCTCTCCAACGGCATGGTGCTGTCGCGCGCCGGCTCGGCCATGGTGAGCCTGGCTGGCCGCGCCCTTAACCGGCCCGTGCTCGTCTGCTGCGAGAAGTACAAGTTCTCGGAGCGCGTGCAGACCGACTCGCAGGTGTACAACCGGCTGGGCGACCCGGATGCGCTGGTGCCGGCGGCCGACTCGCCGCTGGCCGACTGGCGGCGCTGCGAGGCGCTGACGCTGCTCAACCTGGCCTACGACGTCACGCCGCCCGAGCTGGTGGATGTGGTCATAACCGAGCTGGGCGCTATTCCGTGCACGTCGGCGCCGGCCGTGCTGCGCCTGCAGCAGCACGCCGGGTACTGAGGCGGCGCACGCGGTGGCTGGCACGCCGGCCGTGCTGCACCTGCGGCAGCACGCCGGATGCTGAGGCGGCGCACGCCGTGGCTGGGACCCCGGCCGTGCTGCGCCTGCAGCAGCACGCCGGATGCTGAGGCGGCGCACGCCGTGGCTGGGACCCCGGCCGTGCTGCGCCTGCAGCAGCACGCCGGATGCTGAGGCGGCGCGCGCGGTGGCTGGCACGCCGGCCGTGCTGCGTCTGCAGCAGCACGCCGGATGCTGAGGCGGCGCACGCAGTGGCTGGCACGCCGGCCGTGCTGCGTCTGCAGCAGCACGCCGGATGCTGAGGCGGCGCACGCGGTGGCTGGCACGCCGGCCGTGCTGCACCTGCGGCAGCACGCCGGATGCTGAGGCGGCGCGCGCGGTGGCTGGGATCCCGGCCGTGCTGCGCCTGCAGCAGCACGCCGGATGCTGAGGCGGCGCACGCGGTGGCTGGCACGCCGGCCGTGCTGCGCGCCAGGGATGGGAAGAGGAGGGGGCACGGGTGGGCGCGTGTGAAGGGCTGGTCCGCGGCGTGGCCGTGGGAGCGGGACTGGTCGGTGCGCCGCGCCCACATGCAGCTGACGTGTGCGAAATGTCCACGGTTGTGGTGAATGACGGTTTGGGCTGCGGACAGTGTAGGTCAAGACATGGTTGCCCCTTATTGTTACGGTGGGGCTGGTCAGGGCTTTTGTAGGCACAAAACCTCTTCTGACGTAGTTTGTTTTTGTGACGGTAGCCTCGGCTGTGGCTTGAGCGCATTGAGTTAAAACATGTAACCACTACAGGTATGTAGTTTCTTTTGTTTTAATAAAAATGCTGCCTCCATTTCGGTACTTTAGACAGAGCAACCAGTAGGCATGGGGTGTTGTCTGCATATTCCCCATGCCCTACAATGCTTGATGTGTGGACCGCAGTGCTGCGCGCATTCCTCGCCCTCTGCACCAGACATATGTCAGCTATTTGTACACGCCCAGAGGCGCTGCGTCTTCGCTGCGGCGCCTTTGTTTCGCGGGAAATATTTTGGATGGGGGGTTGTGTCAAAGGGGAAGTTCCCCCTTTCGGTGCTCCGTCAAAGTTCATTCGTAGTGAACGCTCGGAATTGCCGGACACTGACGATGGCACTATGGTGCGCATGGATGGGCCCTGTATGAGCTGAAAAGTGCTCTCATGTTTTCATGCACGATATCAGTTCTAAGTGGTGGTTCAAATGTGGTAGCACCGCAAGATGGGGCGTTGCGAGGTCAGGAAAGATGGAAACGGAACAAAGAAGGTGGAAATATTTTGTTTTTCTGCATTTCGGTCGGTGGAAGCGCGTCAGTTTCGCTTATGATTGTCCTTCCTTTTTAGGTAAGATTTTCCTGAAGACGCTAACAGCCTCTTTCCCAGAGACTATCCATCATGATATGACCTAGCGTGCTAGTGCAAACACCCGAAAATATTATTTTTAAGTGAAATTGAATGTCATTCCGAACTAACGAAAAATGTTGACGAAACGAAATTGATGGTCACCGCCGCTACCCCATCGCGCGCGTATTGGGTACAGAGGATTTCTACACCCTTACAGTTTTGAGTAGCTGTATGTGCGCGCTGACCTTATTTGTGACAAGTTTTCAAATGGATTATGAGGACCGATAGCCCTCCCCGGACAGGCTTTTGTCATTTTCATCACGCGTGAGGCAGCCGAGCTCCATCACTTGACACGCTGAAGTGAAACAGAAGACGGCATTGAGAAGTTGGATGTGAAAGTGCACCGCATAATTCCCGTTCGACACCGGTTTTAATTACGCCCTAGGACAAGGGAACTGGACGATGTAGATGTCACTTGCAATACAAGAGGCGCATGTGGTCGCCTCCCTCACCTAAGACGTGTGGATGCTGCGGGAAAGTATTATGTGTAGTCTGGCACTTGACACCAATATGTATCGATAATAAAGCGTAGGTGGGTGTGATGTTTAACCCGTTTTCTAGGTCAGTAAAGGTCAACTCTAGCGTGATGCGTCGCACCCTGCGATCCTATGAACAAAGCGCGGCTCGACAACGAAACAAGAAACGCGTGGTGGCGCTTTCAAACTGCGGCAAATATTGATGGCAGCGGCCTGGGATAGATAAAAGCGGGTCACAGAAACCCAACGGTATTTTCTAAAAAGTGGATCTGGAAGATCTCATGGTTTGATCAAGGATCACCTGATCTTTGGACAAATTAATGAAACTGCACCGTCACGTGGTAATGCGAGATAGTGTGAAGTAATCCAGAAGTGTTGCCAAATGCGTGATGTACCATAAACATGCGGTATCGGGCGTCTGTTGTGCGAGCGACATGGCCCCGATGAAGAGGTCAGCGGCCATGGCCTGACGAGGTTGGCCCTCCAAATGTGTACCGGTATTGCGATATGTCGTTATGCTTCCGACCACCTCACTAGCGTGGCTGCGATCCAGAAGTCACTACAGGGTCTTACGTGCGTCTAAGGCCCTTCCTCTATAATAGATCCAAAAGTACTTTAGGGCCTTACGTGCGTCTAAGGCCCCCTCATCGTCCGACAGAAGTTATTTAGCTATTATGCAACCCAAAACAAAAGATCATGGGAGCCTCGCAATGATTTTGGGAAGACGTGATCCTTTCTGTGACACTTCCAAGGCAGGTCGTTCAGCTAAGGCATGACAATACCAAGCCCTGTGCGTCACATCG